GCCCTGGGACCAGAGAGGGAGACTCGGTCTCCTGAGTGACAGAGAAGTGTTGGGTTAATCTCCTAGGTGGCAAATGAGGGTGGGAAGGGAGAACTGGTCTCCTAAGTGAGCGGTGGGGGAGGGGGGCGGGCCTGATCTCCAAGGTAACAGGAGAGTGAGGTTGGTCTCCCTGGGGAACTAGAGAGGACAAAATTAGGCTCATCAGAAATAGGGAGAGTATTTAATTAGACTCTTAAATGACAAAGGAGGTTGTAGCTGGTGTCCGGGGTAACTCAGGAGGATAGAATTGGTCTCCTAAGTAAGAGGGTAGGGTAGGCCTGGTCCCCCGTCTCTAGGGCAATGGGAGGATGGTGACTGTTTCCTGGGTGACAAGTTTAAGGCTAGATATGTAATGGAGCCGTGTGGAGCCGGTCTCCAGGGTAACAGAAGAAAGCGGGGCTGGTCTCCGGGGCAACAGGAAGGTGGGGCTGGTCTCCAGGGTTACTGGGGATGGCGGAGCAGGGTCAAGGTGGATAGCAAAGGAAACAGGTGAGCATCTGTGGCCTGCCCTGCCCCAGGACAACTTCGGGTACGAGCTGCCGGCGGTGGAGGCAGCCATGAAGAAACACGAGGCCATCGAGGCGGACATTGCAGCCTATGAAGAGCGGGTGCAGGGCGTGGCAGAGCTGGCCCAGGCCCTGGCGGCAGAAGGTTACTACGACGCCCGGCGCGTGGCGGCCCAGCGTGACAGCGTCCTGCGCCAGTGGGCCCTGCTGACCGGGCTGGTAGGTGCCCGGCGGACGCGGCTCGAGCAGAACCTGGCCCTGCAGAAGATCTTCCAGGAGATGGTGTACATGGTGGACTGGATGGAGGAGATGCAGGTGGGGCCGGCCCTGGGGGTCAAGGGTGGGCATGGTGTGCGGGGAGGGCAGGGAGGGCTACAGACACCGAACGGGTTGTCAGGGAGCCGGAGAGGGATGGAGAGAGAGACAGGAAGAGGTGAGAGAGACAGAGAGAGAGACAGGAAGAGGAAGAGAACGAGAGACAAAGAGAAAGAGACAGAAAGACGCCGAGAGAGGCAGAGAAAGGAAGATCAAAGAAGAGACAGAGGAGGGGCGCCTGAGTGGCTTGGTCGGTTGGGCGTCTGGCCGCGGCTCAGGTCGTGATCTCGCGCTCCATGTGTTCGAGCCCCGCGTCGGGCCCTGCACTGAGCCTGGAGCCTGCTTCAGATTCTGTGTCCCTCTCTCTCTGCCCCTCCGCTGCTTGCACTCTGTCTCTCTCTCAAAAATAAAATTTAAAAAACATGTAAAAAAAAAAAAGAGAAGAAAGAAAAAAAAAAAAAAAAAAAAAAAAAAAAGCCACAGAGATACAGAGCCAGAGGGAGCTAGGGACAGATAGAGACAGAGAGATTAAGCCAGAGGAAGATGGTGACAGTTTGAGAGAGAGAAGGGGAAATCAGAGAGAGATCAAACTAGAGAAGCAGGCACGAGGGTGGCAATGGAAATCTAAGCAGCCACAGAGAGACACATAAGAGAAGGAATCCTTTTGGGAAAGAGAGAGACAGGCTGGAGATACAGGTGCAGAGAGAGATGGAGATAAGAAGGAAGGAAGCAGAGAGAGATGGAAACAGGAAAGACAGAGGCAGAGAGAGCGATGGAGGCAGAGAGCAGAGGGAGGGTGGCGCTGTGACAGAGACAGAGCGCAGGAATGTGGGGACAGACACAGGGAGTCAGAGAGAGCCAGATGTTGACGGAGACAAGGAGATTGAGATAGAGATCCGAGTTCAAGGGATGGGGTGGAGGAGCACAAGAGTGGGCCTGACAATGTGGGGTGGGGCCTGCCTGAGGCCAATGCCTAAAAGGTGCTCAGGGCTGCCCCATCTTCTAGGCTCAGCTGCTGTCCCGGGAATGTGGGCAGCACCTGGTGGAGGCGGAGGACCTGTTGCAGAAGCATGGACTGCTGGAGGGGGACATTGCGGCCCAGAGTGAGCGAGTGGAGGCGCTCAACGCTGCTGCCCTGCGTTTCTCTCAGTTGCAGGGTGAGTCTGGGGTCGGGGATTGGGGTGAAAACTTCCAGGGCTGGTGCTAATGGAAGCAGAATGACCCCTAAGAGACAGAAGGAAGGAGTGAGCTCCTTGTCTTTGGAGGCATCCAAGCACAAAATAGGATCACCCTCCATCAGGGAATATCATGGGGGAAATTATTGCCTTGGGTGGAGGTTAGACCACATGATTTCTTCCTGCTTTGAGATTCTGCAGTAATAGTTCACATTTATTGAGCACTTGTGGTTTTTTTTTTTTTAATGTTTATTTTATTTTTGAGAGAGACAGAGACAGAGACAGAGCACTAGCAGGGGAGGGATAGAGAGAGAGGGAGACACAGAATCTGAAGCAGGCTCCAGGCTCTGAGCTATCAGCACATAGCCCGACGCGGGGCTCAAACTCACAAACTGTGAGATCATGACCTGAGATGAAGAAAGACGTTTAACAACTGAGCCACCCAGGTGGCCCTATTGAGTACTTGTTTTATGCTAAGCCCCTCACAGCCAAATCTCAGTGAATACCATGAAAAACCGTGTGAGGTAATGTATAGTCAGGGCCTGTTTGGCAGCAAATGATAGAAACTCAACTCAGCTTAAGGAGAAAAGGGGAGTATCTTGGCCAGTGTAACTAAAGTGTCCAGGAAAAGGCAAGGTTGGCTTCAGGTATGGCTGGATCCAGGGATTATCTGATGATGCTTTTAAGACTCTATCTCTCTGACTGTAGTCTCTATGTTTGTGTCACTACCGGGCAGTTCCTTCCCTTGTGGTGTAAATCTGGGGTCATTCAGCCCCATGTTTTCATCCTAGCAACTTAGCGGACCCAACAGGAGACAAGCCCCTTTCTCCCAATATTTCTGACAAAAGATTCCAGGAAAGCTTTCTTTAGCCCACTGTGGGTTCCATGCCCTCTGCTTAGCCAAGCATTGTGACCCCAGGCTCTACACTGAGCTAACTGGCCACATCTATGTGACATGCCCAACCCATGGCCAAGAGTAGGGTTGGCTCTTTCCAAAGACAGGAATGGAGGAAGGAGAGGAGGGTGGAAAGCCATTACCAGCATCGGGGGCATGGATGCTGATAGGAAAAACCAAGACTGGCTCTAATAAAGGTTCTCATTTTACTGATGTCAATACCTTCCAGCCACAGACCGCCAGGAATCCCCCTGTTGTCAAACCAAGGTGGGTCTGTTGGCTTTTTGCACACATGCTGGAGAACCATGGAGCTTCTCAGTAGGAGGGTGTTAGGAAGGGGCTTGTGATAGGATGTGGGCTTGTGTTAGGTGATTTGGGGATGATTTATGCAGTGTCTTTTGCTGCGGATTGGATACTGTCTGGAGGTGGGAGTAATTAGGTGATCACCCATCTTAATCATTTTTTTTTAACGTTTATTTATTTTTGAGACAGAGAGAGACAGAACATGAACGGGGGAGGGTCAGAGAGAGAGGGAGACACAGAATGTGAAACAGGCTCCAGGCTCTGAGCAGTCAGCACAGAGCCCTACGCGGGGCTTGAACTCACAGACCGCGAGATCATGACCTGAGCCGAAGTCGGACACTTAACCGACTGAGCCACCCAGGCACCCCCCCATCTTAATCATTTTTATCCAGGTAGTGGGAGGAACAGGAGTTGGTAGCAGTCATTCAGCTTAGCTGGGTGAAGGGGCTGGATGATAGTTTCTGTGGCTTGCCCAGTGACCTCTTTTTTGTGTGTGCTCAGACGTGATTATGGAATGGTCTTGTTTCCATCCCATTCCACCATGGTCGCAGAGTGACCTTGTCTGAAGTTGGCGTCCTGAGAAACTGTGTCTCTAGCTGTGAGTGCTGACAAGGCTGCTTTTTTGCTTTCTTGCTGATGAGGAAACTAAGGTCCAGAACTGCAGAGCTCAGAGGGTTTAGGGCTGGCCTGTCTCACTCCTGTGTCTGGAGCCACAGCCCTTTGGAATCCGGAAGCATCAGTAGAAAAGGCAAGGCCTATCTGGCTTGCAAGATGGTGTGTGTGTTGAGGCAGGGGGAGGGGGGCGGTTCTCACCCTCATGGGCTGGGTCAAATGTTGAAGTCTCCTTCCAAGCTCCAGTGGGACATGCCCACCCTGGCTCAGCCGCTTACCCACATCCAAACCCCAGGACAGGCTCATTGAGACCCTCTCCTTCTTGTGAAGGTTTGTCCCAGGAGGCTCCTTCTGTCTTCTCCTTGTGAGATCTTGGTGCCTGGTGGCGGCCAACAGCACCACAAAAACAGCAAAGAGGCTAATGTGTGTTGTCATGGTGACAGGAGGGAGCAATGCCTGATAAGTGGTCCAGAGTGTGGCCTCCTGATCTGCCACTTCTTAGCTGATCCTGGGCAAGTGGCTTCCTTCCCTGAGCCTCAGTTTCTTCATCTGTAAGATGGGGCTCATAAGGATACTGCCCCATGGTGGCGTTGTGCCAGAGTCAGGTCTGGATACACGAATGCCTATTGTTGTTGATTATTCAGGTGGATGCCTTGGTATTTGGGTCAATTTCAGCGAATGTCCAGAATTCCAGAAATGGTGTATCCCATCTAGGGCAGTGTCTCTTGCAGTGTTTTGACCCAGTAAGAAATGTGTTTACCTCCTGACCCACAGTTCACACACACACACACACACACACACACACACACACAC